TGAACTCCCCGGGAGAGACGCTAGTCGCGGCTAGGAGTTCATAATGCCGAAAAGTTGCTGCGTTGTTCGCTGCACAGCAAACAATAAAAAAACAAAACAGAATTGCAACAAACGGCAGGGTAAAGCTGTGGGATCCAGCCAGTCACCACACCTAACTTTATCACAGGTTAGTTGGCTAACGTTAGCTAGCTAGCTAAAGTCAGTTGATCTCAACAATAACATGAGATGTTCAAAGCCAAGAAGTTGATTCCAATGAATGTTAAGGAATGAATCGACAGGACATGAATTGAATGAATGAATTGACAGGGTCATTCGTCCACACAGAGGCTGGCAGCTGTAAAGGACACACACCTCCTATCATGTTCACTTTCTCGTCGTACCGAAGGCGATCAGCACCTCTTAAACTCTCTCCATAGCATGTAGCAGCATTTAAGAGGACTGTCTGAACAGACCGAGGGTCTAGGTACCATGTCTGAAGGGTTACTGTTGGTTCCAAAGGTACTGTACTGAAAGTGTTTGGTGCGTTAAAAGAATTTTCCGTCAAAATGTCAGAAGTATTTAAAGGCTTTACAGACCACCACTGTCTACAACACTGCCTCCATTTAAAGGTGCATCATTATGACCTCCTCCACTGCACTTTGTTTGATGTTTTGACTCTACCCTCAAGCGCCACCTACTGACTGTATCTATGCCAACACTAAGGACATATGGAAGTATGTGTGTAGTGACATTTACAACAATTGAACTGAACAGATTGATTTCCATATAAAGGGAGTGTAAATGAGCCCTGAGCTATTTTCAGCAACTTCTACAAGCAAACACATTTTGAATAAACGTTTTGCAGAGTCAAATTACCCCTGTGTGTTTATGGGAGAGAGTTATAGAGCAGGTGCGCACACACACACACACACACACACACTGTGCCTATATCATATGTCCTTCCCAAAGATCAAAACAAACCTTGTCTACTCGTAATACGTTCAGTTCACAAATGTAATTTGGCGCTGCAGACATAGAAAATGTCCTCAGGAGAGCTGACCCGTAATTTCTATTAAGCATGTTGTAATTTTATAGTCGTTTAACTTCATGGCGGACTTCTCCTGGTGAAGGTCTGTGCAGACGAGGAATCCAGCAGAGTTTATAGGCCCACAGTCCAGCAAGTGCAGCCAAGTTCTCTAAATCATCTACTACACAGTTTATTGGGGATAACTGCGTCGGATTGCACGGCGAGGTTGAGTCAGGTCAGGAGCAAAACATCCCTGTCAACCTCTTACTTTTCTACTCTGTGTTTCAACACTTTCATCCTTGTTCCAGTTCACTTCAAGTTCCCTTTTTCCTCTGTGCAAACACTCATTTCTCTTTCTCCCTTCCCCAGTTCTCAGATGTATCATTCTGCCTCCTTCCTCCTTTCTTAGTATCCCAGTCTGATTTCCCACATTCACAGCTGCCGAGACCAAACAGTCAGAAGTGGTTTCCTCTGTTCTCTTCCCCATTATTTCTGTTTTCTGCTCCCTCCCTTGTCTCTCCTCTCCCTTCCACCTCCTCCCCTGTCTTCCTCGGCATCCTCTCTGCTGCTGGTTTGATAACAGGCTGTCACAAGTGTTGAATGTTTTCTCAGAAAGTGCTGGCTGCCCCTCGAGGGCCACGGTCCTGCCGGTGGGCGGCTGGCAGGCAGGAAAATGACAATTGCATTTGCAGGCAAATGGAGGAGCACACATCTCAGCAGAGAGGGTGATACAGACAGCAGCGAGGGGGGGAAGCAGTTCTGCCTCTCCCCCGTGTTTCATCCGTCCTTTGATTGGACAGTGATTGTTATATGTGGACCTCATTGCAAGCCAGTAAAGGGCAGCAGTATAAACAAATGCTGTAATTACAAGACCCTAATGTGACACAGGGGGAAGAAAGGCAGGGCCAAAGAAAGCCAGCAGGGGGCTGAGCGCCAATTTTATCAAATTAACTTGTTTCTGTAGCATTTGTTTTTCCTGTTTGACTGGTATTTGAACTGACACTGACCTAAATTCTTCACCGTCTGACAGAGCGACGGACGTGCAGGCAGGCAAGCAGTAGATTGGCCTGTCGGTCTAACAGAAAGAGGACTGTGGTTCGGCAGGAGGAACAGAAAGGAGAACACAAGTTCAGACACTGGCGAGCAAAACAGCATCAGTTAACACAGGATGCTGACGGCTTTAAAGGTCCAGTGTGCAGGATTTATGGGGATGTATCAGCAGAAATGGAATGTAATAGAATAAGTGTGTTTTCTTTAGCGTATAATCACCTGAAAATAAGAATCGTCATGTTTCGTTACCTTAGAACGAGCCGTCTACATAGGGGGCAGGTCTTTGTCTACAGAGATCACCATGTTGCATCACTATGTTTCTACAGTAGCCCAGAACGGACAAACCAAGCACTGGCTCTAGATAGGGACATTCATGTTTTCATATCAGCCATTTTAGTTAGAAGCCCCTCCACAGCGAGCAGATTTTTTTTATTGGTTTTAATCACATGGTCCATTTGTTTTAGAGAGGAGGAGGCCTCTGTGGGTAGAAACCTCCTGAACGAATAAAGCGAGCACACATAGCAAGCACGAGGCGAGTGGCCCGTCTCCAACATGCCAAACAGCATTGGAGAAAATACTGACTTGTATCGTGAAACTGCTTCATTCAGCATTTTTAAATGCTTTAATCACCTGGTCTGTTTGTTTTGCAGAGGAAGAGACCTCTGTGGATAATTCAGCACCTGGAAAAATTGAACGATTAGATTTTAAGTTGCATGCACTGCTTTATTCAGTGTTTTTACTTGTGTAAATCACAGGGTCGGTCTGTTTTGGACAGGAAGAGACCTTTGTGGACAATTCAGCTCACGGTAAAAACCTCCTACAGTAAATGATCATAAGCAGACATAGCAGGCGCTGGGAGAGGCACCTGTTTGTGACGTAATAAACAGCTTTGGAGAAAAACTGATTTATAACGCGAGCTGCTTTATTCAGTACGTCTTACTGGTTGTAATCACCACGTTTTGTTTGTTTTGAAGACGAAGAAACCTCTGCGGATAATTCAGCTTCCAGTACAACATAATATAAGGAGCTGCAAAGTCCCTATCGGGCAGATGGGAGCAGAGATGGATGTGTCCGAGAAACCACGGACTTTCACCCAGGAGCCCGCTGTTTGCTTCCTGTATAAATGTTGAGCCAAAGCAAGATGTTTTTTTCTAAACCAAACCTAACTATAGGCTTTTGTTGATGCTCTGGCGTAGCAGCATCCTTGAACGTCATCAGCAGACGCAGACGGATCACTCACGCGTAGTATAAAGACATGAAAAAGCGGTGATATGTGATGACCTGAGATGAGAACGTGTTGGATTAGCAGGTGCTGGCCGAGCGGCCTGTTCCCTACATGCCAAACAGCATTGGAGAAACACTGATTTGTAACATGAAACTACTTTATGCAGTGTTTTTATTAGATTCAATCACTGAGTCTGTTTGTTTTAGAGAGGAGGAGACCTCATAATAATTCGGCTCCAGGTTAAAACCTCCTCAACATTGAACACTGAAGGAATTCTAACTGGGAGAAGTTTCAGCTGCAATGCTGACTGCTAGACGCCACTTAATCTCTCTAAATCTTATACACTGCTCCTTTAAATCCTCCAGCTGCACTTTGACCCTGAAAGACTGACTGCTCACCTGCACGAGTGTCACAGTAACTTAAGACGGTTTAAACGGTGTGAAGCTGCAGAAACAACAAGATCAACTGCAAAACTGTGACCCAACTCACAGATACTCTGCTCCACATCCCCAACAACTTGACACAATTACTCTGCTCCAACCACAGAACAACAGATTGGTTTTATCAACAAGGAATCCAGTTTGTATTTTCCTTTTTTCTAAGTCTCACAAGACAAACATGGGACAGACAGAGACTAAATGCAGCAAGGGGACAAAACAAAAACATGAAACTGAAGGATAATTGCATGCTGAAGAAGGCGAATGCATTTCTGTTAATGAAAACTGAGCAACAGGAACAATCTAATTAATTTGACTGCCTGAACCTTCTTGTACTTTTCAGACTCATGAGATCTGTGATGAGACGTCAATTAATGCAACAGTGACCTACAAACTACAGCGACAATCTGCTTGGGAATATTATCATTCCAGGAACTACACACACCCCCTCTGCTCAGGAAATCAAGTATTACTTTGTGTGTTTTCAAAGGAAGCTGCTGAAAACACACATTGCCCTCTGTGGCAGGGACTTCCTCTCTTTCCCCTGGTGTTCTGATAGTGTTGTGTTTAGGGAGGAATGCAACCAACTTACTGAGGAGATTGTGATTAACATGCAATGTTACATTAAATGTTTGGAAGTGGAGGCCAAACTGTATCAGCTGCAATGTTTGCACCCCTTACATCCCCAAAATCAGCTGCTGCTAGTAGAACAAATGATGCTGAAGCAGATGCAATTCACGTGCAAGCTGCTGGACAGAGCCTCAGCATCACATCTCGTCTCTGATTGGCTCCCAGGCCAAATAAAAACAAGTATGGAGCATGTTTGAAATGAAACACGTAAAGTCATGTCAGCCTGACAGACAGCAATCATTTAAGAGACATGCCCCCCTCCCCCTCCTCCTCCTCCTCCTCCTCCTCTTATGCAATACAAAGTATGCTGGTGCTGATTAGCTGTTACTTAACAGGCTGCTGCGGTGATACAGCGGTGCACAGGGGGAGAGGAAGCCTCACGGAAGAGACGGAGAAAATGGATGGCAAGAAGAGAAACACGCATTGTGCCAAAATAAAAGTCTCTATTATTGTCATATGAGCAGAGATCCAGCTCCCGGCAGCGGCTGCTCCCACTTCTTGGCACCAACACACGAGAAGCTTTGTGCAACAGTTGTCTGGTCACCTTATACAACGCGCAGCTACAGGAGGTGCTTTGGATTCATAATCAATTCATCCACTTAGTCTCCATCCGTGTGCAGAGGGAAATAAAGTTCACTGGTGTCACACCTACCTGATATTCCTCCGCCGACCACTATCACATCGTAGGTGTTGCTGGGTGCAGTCATGGTGCTGTCTGGTCTGTCTCTCCCCGCTCTCCCGTGTCCGCTCGCCGCTGAACGCAAAGCGCACAGAAGAGCGCATCTGTATTAAAAGCGCCGGGCAGGCCCACTCCCTCCTGGCTCCGCCCACAGATAGTAGAGCAGCACTCTGCCGTATGGACAGGGAGGATTACAGGGACGTGTCAGAGACCTGTAGGGACATTACTTGTCACCTATATGCAGTGGTGGAAGTAAAACCGTGGAAATACTCCACTACAAGTAAAAGTGCTGCATTCAAATCCTTATTTAAGTAAAGGTAAGTATTAGAAAAATGATTTCAAATTAAAGTGAAATGTCCCCTAACCTTTTTTCTCTCATAACTTAAGACCCAGACATTCAGGAGGTTTTTACCAGGAGCTGAATTATCCACAGAGGTCTCCTCCTCTCCAAAACAAACAGACCAGCTGATTTAAACGGATAAAAACACTGAATAAAGCAGTTTCATGTTAAAAATCAGTGTTTCTCCAATGCTGTTTGGCGTGTTGCAAACAGGCTGCTCGCCCAGCACCTGCTAATCCAACACATTCTTATTCCTGGTCATCACATACACCCTGTGCTGCATTTAGTCTCTGTCTGTCCCATGTTTGTCTTGTGAGACTTAGAAAAAAGGAAAATACAAACTGGATTCCTTGTTGATAAAACCAATCTGTTGTTCTGTGGTTGGAGCAGAGTAATTGTGTCAAGTTGTTGGGGATGTGGAGCAGAGTATCTGTGAGTTGGGTCACAGTTTTGCAGTTGATCTTGTTGTTTCTGCAGCTTCACACTGTTTAAATCAGCTGAAGTTACTGTGACACTCGTGCAGATGAGCAGTCAGTCTTTCAGGGTCAAAGTGCAGCTGGAGGACTTAAAGGAGCACTGTGTAAGATTTAGAGAGTTTCAGTGGCGTCTAGCAGTCAGCATTGCAGCTGAAACTTCTCCCAGTTAGAATTCCTTCAGTGTTCAGTATTCAGGAGGTTTTTACCAGGAGCTGAATTATCCACAGAGGTCTCTTCCTCTCCAAAACAAAGTGACCCAGTGACTAAAACTGAGAAACACACTGAATAAAGCAGCGTCACATTACAAATCAGTGTTTCTCCAATGTTGTTTGGAACAGGCTGCTCGGCCAGCACCTGCTAATCCAACACATTCTCATCCCAGGTCATCACGTGTCACTGCTTTTTCTGTGGCCTTTTCTTATCTACATATGACGTGCTAGGTATCCTTCTGCGTCTGCTGATGACGTTCCAGGATGCTGCTACACCAGAGCATCAACAAAAGCCTGCAGTTAGGTTTGGGCAACGAAAGCGCGTGGTTTGGTTTAGAAAAAACATCATGGTTTGGCTCAACATTCATATGAGAAGCAAACAGCGGACTCCCAGTGAGAGTCCAGGGTTTCTGGGTTCTGGGTTTACATCCACCTCCCCTCCCACCGGCCCAATAGAGACTGTGCAGCTCCTTATATTACAGATGCCATCCAGCTGACCGGTGGCTTATCGTAACACCACAAAAGGCTACATCTGGCGGCATTACAAACTGACGCTGCCTGGCAGTGCATCATACCATCCCCAAGGTGGATTGTGCCGTCAGGTGTCTGACACCGACATCGCTGAGAAAGCGGCAGAATGAAGCATTCTGGCGAATCTGTGCTTATCTTTTTTTCCTCTGATAGCTTAAAATCCAGATGTTGAAGAGGTTTTCACCAGGAGCTGAATTATTCGCAGAGGTCTCGTCCTCTCAAAACAAATAGACCAGTTGATTTAAACTGGTTAAAACACTGAATAAAGCAGTTTAACGTTAAAAAAAATTGTATCCATCTAGTGGTAGGAAGAGCACAGCACACTAATCCATGTTCAAACAAGATGGCAGCCATCTCTGCCAAGTCAGTCTGCAGCTGACCCTGACACAAAAGTAGACAAGGTCCAAAACCTGATGACATTTTATGGTTTAAACTTGTTTATTTATGATTGATAATGTTCATAGTTTGATATCGCAACAAATTTGACCAATTTTAGCAACGGTAACAAGCAAAGACGCCGTTAATAAGGAAGTACTCGTTTGTAGACATAGGGACTTTAACATCGCTGACAGTGTTGATTTTTTTTTATACTTATTGGGTCCTACTGATCGCAAATAGCTGCGACATGAAAACTTGAATGTCTCTATGTATAGCCAGTGTTTGGTTTGTCCATTCTGGGCTACTGTAGAAACATGGTGGTGCAACATGGTGATCTTCATAGATGAAGAGCCGCTCCCTATGTAGATATAAACGGCTCATTTTAAGGTAACGTAAAAAATATACTCAGTATATTCCATTTCTACCAATATATATAGTTCCCTAAATCCTACACTGGACCTTGAAAACTGGAATTTCCTTGGAAAAAACTTTAAAAGCAGGATAATCAAACTGTATACATTCAGGTTTCAAAGTCAGATATTTCAGCGCAATCAGCTGTATGAGCAGCAACACAGTGAAATGTTGAGTGTCTAATAGCAGGGAGTTGCTGCAGCTGTGACAGCGCTGTAGGAAAGTGAAGAGTAAGCAGTGAGGCTGATATCAGTAGATTACATGTGTCACAACATCAGCCTGATTGTTCTCTCCCAGTCTGCACACTAACTCTGATGTCATCTCAGACCCTGCTGACCTGCAGTAACCTCCACTGTTCCCACTATTCCCCATCACCTGACTGCTCCGCCCACCAGCTCACCCGTTCCCCCATTATCCTGGCAACATGTATACAGACCCATTTGCACCTGTTCCCCGTCTGATCGTCCTGTGGGAGCCACGTGTCTCCAAACAGTCAGAAAACAGCCTGTTGTCAGCTTTGTGACGACGCATTTTTCAGCTGATCCAAGAGCGTTTATATTTATTTATTTATCTATTTTGAATATAGGTTTTAAGTTTTTCAATTTAGCATGAACATCACAACCTATTCCCTCAAAAAAAACAAAAAAACTGACTTCCAGGTCAATGCAATACACTTCCTGCTTCCTGCACTTAAATACAACACTTGACTAAATGTACTCTTGTTAACAGATATGAGAACCCAGTCTTTCTAAATGCAGCATTCACCAGTTTCCGACTTGGACTTTGCTCCTGCTGCTGCTATAAACATCTGGCTCAAGGTCTTTTCCTATCAGTCCGACAGTATACAGAAGTATCAAAAGACCTGACGGCTGTAAATCTTTTCTTTATGACACACAGTAGATCTCAGATGTTAAATGCCAAGAAAAGCCGCCCTGCCTCAGAGCTCCGGCTCTCAATAACCAGGCCTGCATGATAAAAATGAAGTTGATAGAGGAGCCTGTTATAATAAAACCATCTGATGCCAAAACAATAAAACTGAGAGGATTGCTCCTCGCCTCAGAGTTACAGCTACAGTCTCAAATGCAGGTCACACATACTTCAACCGAAGTATCAGTTGTAGTTTAGTTTCAAGCTGAATTAATTGGATCTATTTCCCTCTCTAGATAACTCAGTATTTCACGTTTAGAGACCTGAGTGTGCAGACAGTAACTCAAAGCTTCTGCACTTGTCATGTTGTCTCACAGGACTGGCTGCACATTCTTTAGATTCTGTCGCCCTCTTGCGGAGGCTTGGTTAGTTGCAACTTGCCCAGAGAGTGATCTTTGCACATGCTGTGTGATGTGCATGTATCCTGGTCATGTGCTGACTGACTCCAGGCCAGTTGGGGCGTTACAGCAAAATTCTAGCACAATGTCTATTTCTGTAAGCTGAAACCATTTCCCTCAGTGGAAACAAAGCTTTGATTTACTTTAATTTCACAGATAAGAAACAATAAATTGTGAAGACAATAAAGCCTCAGCAAAAATAGCATTTTAAGTCTTGTGTGTGATTTATCCTGGCTTCATATGAGCAGAGGAAATCTGCGCTGGTTGGTAGGCTAATTTATACAATGTAAAATGCCATAGGCTTGTGCTAATAACGTTAGCATGTTGTGTTTGTGTGCGAGTTATAGTGAAGCTGATTTGTGTACTTGTGTTTGAAATTGGCTCTATTAAGCCATGTTTAATGTGTGTTTAATGTGTGTTTTGAATCAACTAAACTTTACAGCATTTCACAGAAACTCTTCTGCTCACTAGTGTTTTGGAGGTGTAACTGCAGAGTGACACAGACACACCACCACACAAGTATAAATGCTCACAATGGCGTGGGCCACAGTCGTAGGCTACAGCGTAGAGCTGACGCACAAGTATAAATCCCGCTTAAGTTGTCAGAGAAAAAAGGTGAGCACACATTAGCAGGCCCCGACATGCGACATGCCAAACAGTGTCAGAGGAACACTGATTTGTAACATGAAACTGTTTTATTCAGTGTTTCTACCGGTTTAAATCACCAGATCTGTTTGTTTTGGAGAGGAAGAGACTTCTGTGGATAATTTGGCTTCCAGTAAAAACCTCCTCAGAAATGAACAGTAAATGTTCCACACTGGACCTTTATTAACTGATCCAAGAGCTTCTCAGCTATAAGACGTCATTTACAATACATACTTTCAGGTGAGTTGACATTAAATCAACCCACCCCCCCCACCCCACCCCCCCACCCCAGTGCGTTAATCTGACCGCAGTTGTGGTTAATCCTAATCCTCATTTGATCTAATTTATGGAATAAGCCACTCAAGTCCCACACTAGCACATCCTGGTCCTCACAGTGACCAGGGCAGCGGGGGAGGTAATGGTGTAAAGTACACCAGTACAATCTAACGTAATCCAATTTAACAGCCCTGGAATAAATCCTGTCTTTGTTGAGCTCTTAGTGTCACTGAGATGTTACTTTAACTTTGTTGTAATGAACCAATGATGGTGTGTCACTGCAGTTAAAGGCACACAGAAGATGTTATAGCACATATTATGTGATAATACTTACTGAACTGAGTGTGTCAGGTGGATCAGAGCCTTTCCTCTGAAACTTCAGGTGTGTTCTCTCCTCCATCCTCCATTTGTTTCACAGATTGAAGGTGTATCTTCTTCAACACTTTGCTGAGGATCTATAGCAGAAACTATTTAATAAATATCATTATCTATAGTCAGTACACTCCTAAAAAGACACAATTTACTTCATTCAAGCAGTAAAGGACTGAGGCAAACACAGTATTTATCTGTCACAGTCTCAGATAAGGAAAACTCTGCAGTGATGTCAGAGCCCCCAGAGGATCCTCAGAGTCACTCCAGGGTGGTCACCAAGTTATAAGATCTTTTGTTTTTTTTTTAATGTTTCTTTTACAGAAATTAAAATATGTCTGAAAATACACATTATCTTGAATCTAACTTACTTTGCCCCATTGTCATATTTATCTTAATGAAAATGGAGATTCGTCCCTTACCTACCTAAAAATTAAAAACAGGTCAAGGGTGGCATAATGGTACAGTGGTCAGCATTGTTTTTATCTTATCTTATTTGATTCTATTTTATTTCTATTTATTATATTTTATTTTAATTTATTTTATTCTATTTTATTTTTTATTTATTTTATTTTATTTCTATTTATTTTTATTTATTTTATTTTATTTCTATTTATTGTATTTTATTTTTTTTATTGTATTTTATTTCTATTTATTTCTATTTTATTCATTTATGCATTTATTTCATGTATTTATGTATTTATTTATTTTTTTTTCAGTTCCCTTTATACCAGAATATTTCCTGAGATGGCTATAGTACCATGACAGTCTCATACAGCTGCAGCCCTGCTGACATCATAGACACTTCACATGTTCACAAAACAAGCTCACCCTCATCGTTTAATATCTTAATTTACACATAACATGAAGGAACAGAGGACATATACAGGTAATCTCAACCAGCTGAAACCTTAAATCTTTGGATCATGGCACAAATAAAATTAAAGATCTCATATTTACTCAGATCTTCACTTCAGATCACCAAATTAAAGTTTACAACAATGACAATTTTATATTTCTACACTTAAATGCTTCTTCGATCGCCACATATCTATAATACAAAAAAATAATGTTGCTTCATCATCAAATAACATGTTAAGTTTTAAGTGCGAGTCAAAACTATTCTGCTCCTACAGTAAAGCTTCTGCACACACCTGTTTGTGTTTCTGCTCTGACTCATTGTGGATCAGTAACGTGTTGATCAGGTGACGAGGTGCAGCTGCTGGAGGCTGACAGCACAGACAGTGATGGACTGAGGGTGGACAGGTGGACAGGTGAGGGAACATTACACACATGCACAGAGACAGGAGACAAAGACGGGGTGCAGACGTCGCCATGACGATGTGTGTGTGTGGGAGGTGAAGTTTAGACACACAGTTTAGAATAGCTACAGAACAACACAAGAACAAGAGTGTGTCTGAACGAGGACAAAGACTCAGCAGGAGACAAACACACGACAGAACACGCAGCATGTCGAATGTGACGGTGAAACTGTAAAACTGTTAAACTACAGTATAAAACTGTACCTGAGCTGCAGAGACTTTACCTTCATCTGTTCATCTTCATCTTCACTGTGAGACACAGAGACCACTGTGGAGATAATGAGGTCGTGTTAAAGACAAAGCACAGGTGTGTGTGTGTGTGTGTGTGTGTGTGTGTGTGTGTGTGTGTGTGTGTGTATTGGGCTTCATCAGCAGAGGGCAGCAACAGCCTGGACTTCAGATACATGGAAGCAGGATGAACGTGTCCGCTGTGTGCTGGTGGAAAAAATAATCCAGTTATAAGAAGATTCTCCTTTTAAAATGTGTACAGTGCAGAGAAATTAATAAATGAGTGGTGTAAAACAAATATTTATTGGGCACCCCGCCCAGTATCTCAGTGGGTAGAACAGGTGTCCCATGCACAACTTTAGGCTCCATCCTCAGGTTTGATTCCAGCTTGCAGCCCCCTGCTGCGTGTCGCCTCCCCTCATCCTTGACCAGATAACCTTATATGTTGCACCACCAAGACACTGGCATATTCTATCTGCTGATGATGAGGGTAAAAACTCATTTTCTAATTGCAGACACGTCTCATACTGCACAAGGAGGGAGCATGGAACAAGTGTCATATCACCAAAAAACAATACAAGATTAAGAATTGTATCACTTGTCTTTCCACTTACGTTATTTACCTTATCTCATGTCCCAGTGGTCTTCAATATAAAGTGCAGTGTGACAGCAGATGGATCTGTCTTCTTAAAACTGAACAACCTTTACGAAATGTTAGAATGAAACACTTTATAGACATCTGCCTGCACCAGCATACATTGATGTATAAGGACGTTGTGATTGGTACAACACTCATTGGACAGATCTTTGTGATTTGGGAGTCAGGCTTCTCCTTCTCAGAGTTGATCCCATCTAATGAGTGGTACCGGCTGAGTGATTAGTCACACCGCGAGTCCATAGGTTCGTTGGAGATGAACTGCACCTCGCCTGGAAAGTATTTGAGATCAGGCGGCTGCAGCAGGACACGGTGACAACAAGTTGAGGTGAAGTCGGACAGTTTCCTGACAGTTTCCAGCAGCGTTCAGTCTGTACAGGAAGTCACAGAAACACTCACATCCTGTCCGATATGATGTTCATTAACTAAAAATGTTATCAGACCCATTGTAACAGCCATTTATCTACGTGTGTGTTTGTTTATTTTATTTTTGTTGCAAAACATTTTGTACTGTGTGGCACTGTGGCAACTTCCGGTGGAAGTGCGTTTATTCAGCCAGGTTAATGAGGCCAGGTGTGCATGAGTAGAGGCGAACAGTTTTTTGACCGTGGCTGAGGCACGGCTGAGGTGTCTGCAGACAGGAGCTGTATTAGATAATAGGCTACCTAATTGCTACAAAGCAAGGTGCTGTACCTTGTTGTGCTTAAATGTATAGAAGAAATAAATGGAGCAAAGCAACGGGAAACACGCACCTGCAGTAAGTGACAGTGGAAAGACACTTACACCCATATATCAGTTTCTAATTATGATAGATTGATTTATTAAAATGCTTTACAGGTGATCTGTAATTTATGTTCATGGTTCAACCTCCATTTGACATGAATTCACATGTAAATCAGTTGTTAGTGTAATGTACAACTGACTATATGATGATGATGATGATGATGATGATGATAATGATGGCTGATCTTGTGGAGTCAACGTCTAAACCCATAGACTTTTAGATCAGGTGAGAGCCATACGTTTCCCATCATGCCCTGGGTCTCGGTGGAGAGCAACTGCAGCACCTGGCTCTAAAACTGCAGCTGCCTCGCTCTTGCAAAATTATCGCTGTTAACTTTTGTATGACATCAGAGCAATTCAGGAGGAAGTCAGACACAAAATTAACCAGCATGCGTTGTGTGGTTTATCTCCAACGAGCCTTGTATCTGTTCTGTGAAGCCCTCATGTCAGTAGCTCTGATGATAGTCAAGGACTGAGAAGTTTGCTGCTGTTTTTATTCACCTTTTTTATTATTTTTTGCACTCTGAGCGCCTTCTTTTTGTGCACAGATGTCTTAAATAAATTGATCTCAGCCTGTGGATCTATTGGTGGCTGTCCAGCCCAGATGCACTGGTGTGTGTATCTCCTCTGCTGTCCTTTATTGTACGTCTCTTCAAACCACATATACATTACATTAGTGTGTAATTATGCAGCAGATATGTTAAAACTTTATGTCTTTACAATCCTGTTGTTAACATGGTTAGATTTAGGCACAAAACCACATGGTAATGGTTTGGACAAAGTAATGTTTTGGCTTGTTTTGGTGGCACTATCCTCGCTTGGCAGGAAAAACAGCGATGAGTTCCTCCAAAACAACTTTGTCTGGAGCCTAAAAAGCTGCTGGAAGCACCTTAGAAAAACAACCAGTTTTGTTGTTTGTTAATCTCAAACAGCGGTCTGCAGCTTGGCAGGCGCTTCACAGATGTCACACCATCCATCATCCCCTCCACCTCCTGACGACAGAGTCAGCTCATATGCTACATCACGAAATGTTGATATGAGACATATGAAACATGCAAATGTGATGTATTCATGGTTTGCAGAAATGTGCATGCCAACATTTCTTTCTGGTGACTTTCTTGGCTACAGGTTAATCAGATTATGTGTGAAGATTTTAAGAATCACAAAGACAATTACAAGATAAATTTGACTATTTGATGATTGTTAATGCACCACAAATCAAGACAGTGTTGTCCTCTTTGTCATTTGTCAGCTGATGTCATTAACTGTCCTCACATGATGAACATTTAACGTGGTCCGTCCTGTGCGCCTGTCTGAGACCAAATGTTCTGCAGATCCTCTCGTCTTTGTTCGCTGCCATTCACAGAAAATGTCCAACTATTCCACACACTTGTATAAACAGTGCGTACGTTTAATGAAATACTCACTGAAACGTTATAAAAATATGAAAATGTTCTTTCCTGTTGGAGCCTTTCACTGGATCAGTGTTCAGCCTGTTAAAGCGTGTGAGAGCTACAGCACAACTGACATGATTGTATTCATATTTTGTCAGTAAAGTATGTGCTGACAGCTCGATAACACACCTCAGCTCTGCACTAATGTGGAGCCGCTGAATGGTCATATTGTCAAGCCTCCAGCAGCTCATGGCCGTTGTCCATGTTTCACGTCTGGCATTTTAATGGAATGCTAAACACACAGATGTGAATTTCTCCTTAACAAGGAGGAACCTATAGCGCCGTCCAATAAAACGCCTCTTTTCTATGATTTTTATTAAACACTTGGATGGTTATGATTAGGATCAAGGATGAATGGATGTGTGTGACGTGTGCTGATATAAAAAGAGCACATGTGCCTGTCTAACACCTGGAGAAAGACGGAGATGAAAAACTGTGTGTGATGAATGATGTCTCTGCTGCTTTCATGACAGCGGACAGTCCTGCAGTCAGCAGGCTGATGGCACGCTGCCTCGTAACTCCCAGCTGGCACTGGACTTCAAAATGACATCAGGAAGATGTTGGACGTTAGAAGTTCATGATGTGTGGATGTTAACATTATGAAGTTTTGCAGATGCTGGGTTTTAT